TCTATCTATCTATCTATCTATCTATCTATCTATCTATCTATCTATCTATCTTCCTTCTGATAATGATTAGGAAATTTAATCTCAGATTTCACAAAGATATCTGAGCCTTAGATTCTCAGAAAGTAAAGCATAATATTTATTTCTAACTAGTCAGAGCCATGTAAATATTTATATTTTTGATGATAGATTCTGTGTATTGGTTGTGTGATGAATTTGAGAGATCTATGCACCAAGACCCGAACAAAAACAAAGGACAACTAAACAAAACAAAGAAGGCCAGATAACAATGGTAGATTTTTTTAAAGAAGAGGTGGGCAGTGGAACAGTCAGGTTTTTTTCAGTGCCAAATAAACAGACAAGAAAATAAGAGGGAGAAGAGTAGGCTCTAAATTGTTTATGATGATACCTATGTTAAAGAGCAATTCCTATGTTAAAGAGCAAATTAATTCTTGAGATATTTCAAGAGTATTAAAACTAGCATCGTTTACCTAATTGTTCCTACAAGTGGTTTGAACATCTTTCTATTGGTGTCTCTCTCTCTCTCCATCCATCCATCCATCTATCCATCATCTATCCTTGTTTGTAATAAAACAACCTTTAATTTTAAAAATAAAAATACAAACTGAAGAAAAAAGAAAAAAATATTTTATATTTATCAATAGTCACTGATTTACTAATGTACTATAATATGTACTATAATATGAACAATGCAAGATATTATTATAAGATATAACAGATCTCTGCTATACTAACACATATTGCTGCATCCTTTAATTAATAGAAAGTATTGGCTTTCTAGTAACAAACAGATCACACATTTCAGGCAAACATTCCTTGACTTTTAAATATACATTACGCTATACACTAACCCAAACAGCTACTAAGTGATCACAAGCAGATATTGTATGGGATTACCAGCAAAACCAGGATGTCTATCCTTTCACTTTTAACACATGAAAAATCATTCCTTCCTTCTGTCTTTTGTAAAATAGGAAGGTGGAATTATGAAAATTGAATTCTAATAGTACATCTGAAGAGTACCAGTTTTTGAAAAACAAAACTTGAATTAGAACTAACTTGAAGTCCTTTGAAATTATCACATTACTAAGGACTGTTGGATAAATGCAGCCAAGAATGATATCAGCTGGCATTTTTCCTAATGATGGGAAAGAGTCACTTTGTGGCTTCCAAATGTTGGTTAGTTAAAACCCTAGTATGTGTCATTTTTCTATTAATAATTTGTAATTTTGGATGCTGTTTTTCATGTCTAGGTATTTATAGTGTGTTCTAGCTTTCTAAAATTTTTAAACCTTGTGGTGCTAAAATGTCTGTGCTTACACACATGGAGATTCATAAAATTAAGCAGAAAACATGATAAACATAAAGGAAGTTTCAAAAGAAATTTCTTTAAAGGCTCAGAGCAGTGAGTAATGG